GCCCGGGCTCGGACGGTGTGGGTGGCCCGAGGGCGCGGCCGCGGCCACCTCTGGGCCTTGCACCGCCCCTCGGGCGCCATCCCGTGACTCCGGCCGCCCTGGACGGAAGGCGGCGCCGGGGTCTTCACCCGGCGCGCAGGGAACCCCGAGGGAGCGCAGGGGCTGGGCGCGGGGCCTGGAGCCCTGGCCGGGGGACTGACCTTGGACGGCCGGTCCCCGCTGGGCGCGAGGGCTCAGCGGGCAGTGTGGGGCAGGGTCCGACTCACTGCCTGCCCTTGTCTTGCAGATGAGGACACGGAGGCTTCGCGAGGGAGCGTGATCGCCCAGCCCAGGATCGGATTGGACCAGACCCGGGCGCCCCGCGGGCAGGTGGGCAAGCAGCTCGCGCCCCGGACCAGCCGGGGAATGGTCTGGGCTGCAGTGGGGCCGGGGCCGGAGAGCTGGGGCTGGAGAACCGAGGTGGGCCCGAGCTTTTCTACACCTTCCTGGCATCTTCTTTAGCTAGGGATGGCCAGCCTGGCCCAGGTGAGACAGCGGGGGCACCGCCGGGGCGTGGGCAGAGCAGGGCTTCTCTAGCTGGGGCGCCAGAGAGCAAGGCCGTTCCGGGAGGGAGATCAGACACGGCGCAATAAGGGCTGCAGTGCTTCTGGGCCCGGGAGCTGGAAGGAGGTACTCCTGTCCCCGACCGAGAGTCCAGGGCCCCAGTGCGATGTGCGAGGCTGCACGAGAGTGCCCTCCTCGGCCGAGCCGCTCACACCTCCTCCTCCGCAGGTGGAGCTCCGTGGCGGGCCCATGTCGTGACCCCGAGGCGTCCGGCCTGCAGTCGGTCAGCATGCCGTGGGACCCGCGGCCGGGGAGCGGCGCTGACGGTGGGCCCGAGGGCGCGGGCGCAGCGCGCTCGCGGGCGCAGAAGCAGTGCCGGAAGTCGTCGTTCGCCTTCTACCAGGCGGTGCGCGACCTGCTGCCCGTGTGGCTGCTCGAGGACATGCGCGCCAGCGAGGCCTTCCACTGGGATGAGCGCGGGCGCGCGGCCGCCTTCTCGCCCTCGGAGGCGCTGCTTTACGCGCTCGTGCACGACCACCAGGCCTACGCGCACCACCTGCTGGCCACCTTCCCGCGCCGCGCGCTCGC